GTGTTCCACATAAAGACACTTTCACACAATAAATGTATAGATACTGAAACACACTTTAAGGACATATTCTAAAACAGCTCGCCTCCTCTTCGACGTATTTTATTGCGGTATTCATTTGAAGCAACATGGAATGGTTTCAAACAAACAACAAACTGTGAAAATTATATGTTGCTTGCATTAATATTAAATATGTCCAAAATATTGGGAAATATCGGTGTTGAAGGTGGTTCTCTGGAGGTAGGGGAAACATGTTGCAGAAAATGATAATTTATTAATGAATCTACATCAGTTTGTCGTGTTTTTGTAAAACATAATGCCTTCCTTGATATATCTTTTATATAACGTCTTTTGCTACTTACGCTATCAATAATAATGACGTCTAGCCTTTCTGTACATTTTGGAATATTTCAAGGTTTGTTTCATTCCTTACATTAATATAATGTACAGTGTTGTTATCGTGCCTGTTTGTATTGACTTGGTTGCTTTGGCATACCGGCTTTTATTACAAGTTTACACAGATCTTTAGCTACATACTTAGATAATCAAGACTGACGTTCTTCTCTCTTTTAAATGATCTAGGGAAAAGCTGTGGCTCACTCGAAAGTTTAAGAAGATTAACTAACAAAATATTTTGTTGTGAACTCAATGCTTTTCTTTATGTGGATTGATATATAAAGGTGAGGTTGACCGATAACCCATCAAGATGGCAGCCTTCAAAGCATTTGTGAAAGCACAAATATAATTTGCCATATTTACCATGGATTTCAATTTTATGTTACATTGCTCCTCTAACCTTTTTGAAAAAGAGCGTTTGTATGACATTTTACCGGGACCGGCACAATGGTTCCACCCCCCGCCCGCCATCGCACCCCCTACTCCATGATAATAACAAAATCCCTATCGTCTAATTTGGCGTCCCTTAAATCGATTATCTACTATTCCTGTTTTTGAGTAGTATCAAAGTAAATGTGTAATGTGAATTGAGGAGAAAAATTGTCACATGATGGCAGCTAGAAAATTTAATAGAAATTTTTATGCTCTCCTTGAGGCAAGACATTATTATTTACAAATCGATTGCGTGTTCACTTTTGTCTAAGCTATCCGCTTATTAGCACACACAAGTCAGTACACTTGAAATAATTTACCGAACGACCACAGTCAGTTATTTAACTCTGATATTGAATGGCGGCACTTTAGTCATGTAGGCCTATTGTAATACATGTGATCTTCAACGTTCCATCGATACTCGTGATTTTCAGAAAACTGCTTGTCGTGCCAGAATGAAAAAGTGAGTTACCTATGTTATTGTTATTTTCGTAAAAATGGTTCCTCAGACAGAGCAGTTACAGTGTGAATGTGGTGCTAAATTTGTTAAAATGATTACATATGTAGGAATAATAATAATAATAATAATAATAATAATAATAATAATAATAATAATAATAATAATGATAATAATAATTAATAATAATAATAATTAATAATAATAATAATAATAGTAATACTGCAACTATTATTATTATTATTATTATTATTATTATTATTATTATTATTATTATTATTATTATTATTATTGCAAATATCCCAGGTATTTTTGTCATAAATGCAGCTGTAAATGTTTGTTTTCCTTTTGTTATTTGTCATAAAAATGATCTTCTTCTCCTTATGACCACTTGGTGGTCTAAAGTAGTTAGAGCGTTCGCCTCGAAAGCAGGAGGTCAAGGATTCTAACCCCGGCTGTGTCGTCTTATAAAAAAGGTACTAACAGCTCCCTCGTTGGCGCTCAGATTAAGAGGTTAGTGTTAGGATTAGTCGGCCGGCCTGGTGTCAGGATAAAGTATCTGGGTAGGACATCATGCTACATCTGCAGCTTAATGAGTCAGTGCTAGACATCACAATAAGCTGCCAAACTGAGGATATGGTAGCAATAAAAATGACTGAATTTTTTTAACAACGTTAAAAATCCCCCCCACTTTTCTTTCTCCGTCTTCTTTTTCTTATTATAATTATTTATGATCAGTAATTCATGTTCATATGCCTACCCTTCTGCTACGTTTGTCATTTCAGTTATGAATTAATACTTTTGTTATTCAAATAATAAACGCTTTCTGCGCATTAATAGTCCCGTGATGCGAGATGAAATCAAAAGCGTTTCGTACTTGGGACCTACTTGCTTGCAGTGCCATCTAAAATTATTGATTACCAAGACAGCCGGCAGATGTCCTTCATTGACTTAATGCACGCATAGTAATGTACAGTAATCAAAAACAGATTTGCTTTATCTAGGTCCAATCGATGGATGAAAACTAATCGAGATGTGTTCAGATGGTATTTTATACCTAATTTAATTTTGTACAGTATATATAAACATAACATGATCTAGCTATGGGACACTGATGACAGCTAAATTACGTCTTGTATTCAGTACTGTATCGTAACTAATACTACATTATCTTTATATCCTTTGATATTAATGCTCTTACAGAAGTACTAAGAAGCATGGATATGACATCAATATTAGTTTTCTGTGTAGTGCTTTTGCTTTAAGGATACTAAACGATATACCACCAGGACCAGTAACTGTCCCATTGTTTAGGAATATTCCAAACTAGTGGAAAGAAATTATCTTCTTTTCTTCCGCAAATGGAGAAAATAGTACGGGGATATTTTTGGTCTATACATGGAAAGCCAAAGGTTGGTTTTGTTGAATAGCTACAAAACTATTAAAATAGCCTTAGTTACTCAAGGAAATGGTTGTTCAGATAGACCGCAAAACTTTATTTTGGATAAAATAATGGAAGGCCAGGATACAGTTTTCAACTCTGGTAGGTCATGGAAAATGCTGAGAAAATCTGCTTTAAATTTTCTTTAAGATCTTGGTTTTATTCTCAAATTTGTTGAAGTTTGTATAACTGATGAAACAAAAATATTAATCGAGTTAAGAGAAAGTTGTTCAAACGGAGATGTTCATTTTTCTAACCTCTATGATGTAGAAATTCCATTTATTCCAGACCATCCATGTCATCTTCCAGACTTGGAAGGAAATCTAGGAAAATGCATATGTCCAAAAGATTTTCAAGTCAGGATAGACAGGAGGCAAGATGTTAAATCATATTGAAGACTGATCTGTTCACCAAACGTTGACATGTTAATTTATTCATTAAGATGAAGAGGGATTATTTGTTTTTCAGAGGTCTTGATTCTGGACAGACTTAGCTGAAGGTGAATTAGAGTGTAGTAAGAGCATAGGCCAACTCACACATACGCCATCAATGAATACATTTTTTAAAAGTTTTTTGTTTACAACAGAGCTGACACGCAAGACAATTATGACTTTAATTACGACCAATGCTTGTCGTTCTAGAAAAGGAGGAAAAAAGTTGTTTACCAATTCTGAATCAAGGTCAGAAACTAGGTCTTCTAAAATTCAATGTAGCACTATTGGTTATTTACTGAACTGAACTGAAGTTTCCCAGAAAATGTCAAATCCAGTTAATAAAGTTATCATTACAATAACATTTAATGAAATAAAAATAAAATAAAAACCTAAAACTAACACACAAGTAATTGCATTTCATATACTTAACAATATGACACTTATGAAATAAGCCATCTTGTGGGACAGAGACGTGGATTTTACAGAAAACTGTGCAAAATTGAACAAGGTTTGTTTGTCTGCATGCGTATTGTTTGCAAATAAAATTGAGTCTAATAATACCAGAAGTCTTGACATTTATTCCGGAATAAGACGTAGAAGACCTTCTCATTGAAACACAGAAGATATTGCATGCATTCTCATAAATTGGTTAACCTGCAAGTGACCTTAGAAATGGAAGGAAAAATGAATTGGGCAGATGTCTGAGGAAAAATAAAAATAAAAATAATTGTCTAGATTATTGTGCATAATCACAAAAGAAGAGTAATCGCCCATGCGTCTGAAGTGAGTGAAGTTTTTGACGATTAGGGTATGGATATCAAAGAGCAGGCTAGTGAAACAAACTTGTTTGGGCTATTAATATAAGAATGGCATCTGAACTCACTACTCTTCAACAGATGTAAGATAAATATGATGAGGACGCAAAAGAACAGAGGTTGCATCGACTGCAAAATTTTCAGACAATAATAGTGAAGAGAACGAAGAAAATATGAAAGAGAAAATTTACCAGCGCTTTGAGAAATTTGACATTATTTTATTCCAATGAGCAGGGTCTGGTTCGGCTGATAACGCATTAGGGATTTAATTTATCTGCATTTGGAAATGATTTTGAAGATATTAGTAATAATGACCAGCTATTTATCTGAAAATGCCTCATATAAAACTTCGAAATATCATAAAGTCGCGTAATAGAACAAGTAAGGCTCACAATCTGCTTATCCTTGAAACGCGTATACCATTTTATGCAAAGGAGGAAATAAACATGTTGCGAAGGGTCGCTTGAACTGAATAAATGTTTCCACGAAATAGATAAACGTTTCTGTCTTTGCATATGAAGCCTCAGGGCATTGGGACGTAATAAATGTAAATCTGTCTGCCCTGGAGAGGCTGACATACTTGAATTAATGAGAACTATAATTAAACACAATCCACCACCACCACCGCTCGCCACTAGAGCAGTAATAACAACAGCAACAATTAGAAATAAAACAATGGTATAAAAATTAAAGCAAGTTCCTCATAAGCATTATTTCCATATACCCGGCAGTGTAAAAAAGCTGATACCCTAGTGGTATTAGGTGAATGTGTGTGTGTGTGTGTGTGTGTGTGTGATTTAGATTTTTACCGTAGCTTTAACAATTTTTCAGTCATATCGCTACGATGTATGCAGTATGATAGTTTACAGTAATGTCTAGCACTGGGGCATCATGCCGCAGTCACATGGCATGATGTCCCACCCAGTCACATTATCCTGACACCAGGCCAACCAGTCCTAGCACTAAACTCTTAATGCTGAGCGCCACACGAGGCAGCTGTTAGTACCATTTTTTAAAAGTCTTTGGTATGACAAGGCCGGGGTTCAAACCCGCACCCTTTCGCATCCGAGGCGGACGCTCTAACCACTAGGCCACCGGAGCGGTTTAGGTGAGTATGAAGAAAACTGCTGTTTTCTTGTATCTGTTAGTGCTACTGAAGGGGATGAGTATGTTCGTGCAAACACACAGCACTAAGTAGTACCTGAATTCATATCTTAAAAACCGCTCCGGTGGCCTAGTGGTTAGAGCGTTAGCTTTAGTTGCGAAAGGCGTCGGTTTTAAACCCCGGCAAGGTCATACCAAAAACTTTAAAAACTGGTACTAAAAGCTGCCTCGCTTGGTGCTCAGCATTAAGAGGTTATTGCTAGAACTGGTCGGCCTGGTGTTATGATAATGTGACTGGGTGGGACATGATGCTACATGTCTGCAGCATATGCCTCAGTGCTAGACATTACTGTAAACTGTCACACTGCAGACATTGTAGCGATATAACTGAAAAATTGTTAAAGCTACGCTAACAATCTAATTCACACACACACGCACATACACAAGCATACACATTTCAAACGCGTGGTTGCGAGTTAGTAAATCACGTGGTAATTATTCCTCTCACATACTAACCAGACAAAGACTACTATTATTAACTATGATTCCTGTAATCGTATCAATGTTACAAAACTTTTGTAACACTGGCGTTAAAACCTACATTGTCCTTAGCGGGCATCTGTTTTGGCCGCTTGGTTTTGACAAAAATGAATTTAATATTAGATTCACAGTGGTGCGAGTATAAGTCTGAATTGAAGCGACACCAGCGGCATCAGCGATGAAAATGGCAGAGGCCTAAAAAAGATTCTCTAAACGTTGGATAAATACACTAATTCACTATCGGCATGGACTCTCGAAAGATGTTTGAAAATCGAGGTATATCTCTCACCGTATCGTGGATTCATTTACATAACAATAATTGCGTCTGTCTTCGTTGACAATTATAAACTTAAAGAACTCTGAAAATCGATGTCTTGAATAGACAGCTTTGTTGTCGCTGTCTTCGGTTAGTGATACTAAAGAAATGCCTGGAAAATACCAGCAATACTAGGGTAAACCTAACTTTACTGATATTGAATTTGCTTCAGAGTTTACCAGAGCAACACTGAACAAATCTGAAAATGTATTAGCTTATGACAAAGAATTTTATCTGGCAATATCTCCAAATGGCCAGAATGGACAAACTCAGATTGATTTGCTGCCATTGAGTGAATGAAAGAATCGGAATCGGTATCGCACTACATATGGGTAAAGAATCTTACTTGGTTCCTTAACCGACACAGATTGCATCATATCAATAAATATTCATGCCTACGTCGCATGTATGCTTTTAGGACTGAACAACTGCCTACAAATTATAATTTTTACTGTGTTGGTATCACGGAAAATCACCGCAAGTTATAATAAATAATAAATGACAACTTGGTAAAGCATTGTCAAATTTACTGCAGTAAAATGAAAGATGAAAGTCCCTATAATATTGAAGCTGATTTCGAATGATGAATGTTTCAATGGAAACATGCGCTTTCAGAGTCGCTTCTAGCTCCGCTTTAACGTCAAAATTGCGTCTGACAGCGATCAAACTGTGCAAGTCGCTGAACTAAGCCTATGCGGGCAATGTATGTTATGTAGGATGTGATGGAAAAACAGATCAACCAGCCTTTATCGTGTATAGGGTGCTCCAGACATAGTTAAGGTGTTTCTTAAATTGATCGAAGTTACGGCAAAATGGATTCAGCATCAGCTATATTCACCAACAGTCAAGATTATGACGGATGGTAACATTCGTGTGCTCTCCGCAACCACTAATTGTTGGATTTATATAAAGCTTTCACTTAAGGAGAAAATTCTTCCCCGGTAAATGTGTCCAATGATGCCAAGTTTGTGATCACTGTCAGAACACTGGTGCCTACAGAGAAGCTGCACAGAATGATGAAATTTGCAGCTGAGAATTTACGCAAACAAACTTCCCAGTGTTGCTTTATAACTTGTGTGAGGATAATGACCCTTTATTAATGTAAGCAATGAACATTGCATCAGACTCACCGATAAGGGTGATCATCAACTGTTCCAAATTCTCTTCTCGTCTTAGATAAATCCTCTCTCGTGCTTTGTTATACCTGCTGAAGTTACCTCAGTTTAGCCTTTTCCTCTTTGGTCCTGTCTGAGTTCATCTTCGGTCGGTTTCATCTTCTCAGTGACACTAGTTTCTTGATATGATATCAATAACTTCTTCCAGCAATTATTGCTGCTGATGCTGAGTTGATTTGAGCGTGTCAAGCAACTCAACAGATCCAAATTGGCATGGACGTCATTTAGTCCTCGTCGAGTTTGGTCAGGATGGGTTTGAACAATTATCCAGTCACGTTTTGTTGAAAAAATCTGGTGGCCTACTTTGGACGCCCTGACGTAATGTTGTCCGTTGGTCGATACAATTATTGAGGACGTCCACGCGCTGACAACGCGTGGTGATTTTCTCAGACGACATGGTTTTGCTAATTAGGAAGGTAATATTCGTAGAAACCTTTACAATAACGTTCCGGGATGGTTCCGCATCACGACGAAACGTCATATAATCACGTTTGGATCACAATGTCGCTGCGACATAGTAGTTTCTGAATTGTTGGGTAGTAATGCCTGTAAAATGTTCTCTCGCATTCGCATCGATGTCTCGATTATAGAGTCCTGAAAATAGCACGAAGCATAACGTGTTTCGTCGAATGTATTTAGGCACATCGTAGTACCAGTGAGTGAAATAAATACTGTTTCAGCGCTTGTTTCGCGACACGATAAATGCTCGCAGAACTTATGTTCTCATAGTCGATCTTAAAACAAGATGTCTTATACGCATCTGAATCGAATTTTTCTACGGGCTAGATGTCAATCCGTATAGCATGTGGCAGCGTGTGGCATTTGTCCGGATGGATTGAGCGAGTAAATCGTGACCCAATCGTATTACGGCGAGATGTAAGAGGTGATTGATTTTGCCAAGACCTGTATAACTCAAGATTATGTAATAAGAATACGTCATCAAAAATGGTGCATATGTTGTTTTTTTCCTTCGTGTCAAAATTAATGATGTTCATGTGAATTATATATTCAACATATCGTTCAAGTCATTTAGTACATTAATCGGATGGGGAAGTAGTTGATCAACCAGTTTGGAAGGCCTGGATAAAAAAGTCAACCACGCTGATAATTCCATGCATGTTAATCTCAACATGAGTGATTACAGGCTCAACAACGTTGACGATGTGAGTTATCCAACTTAGGATCCCAATGTCACATGAGACAAATTTTCGCGGACGGTTGGAACGATGGCTGAAAATCTTACCAAGTGAGGCTTGAGGTGGCTTGAGCTTATACGTACTTCATTCATCGGTGGTTAGGTTTTCTCAACTCGTGAAAGCTTTTGATTTCGGGTTGCTTCTGGCTGGAAAATACGATATAATGGGTGGAACCGTCAGTGGACATGTCGCAGTGACTGGAACGGTTTCCTTAGCAGGTCAAATCACGAGTGTCATGTTGATATCCTCTCCGACGTCTAGAACCACGTCTTAGAATTCCAGACGTGTGGGATTGTACAGTGGACTCAACACGAGAACCACTATAGTTTATCACTTTGGAACTTCAGATCATTCCATCCGGATCGTCAGAGAGGCAGGTGGAATTACATGCAATCATCTGATGATCGCTCCAATTATGGTGACTCCCATCGTGGAGTATTTAATTCTTCCTAACGAGTTGATCTGGGAATAAGAGATAGATTTGGTGTCATTGGTGATAGGCCACGTTGTAGGACGCCCATAAAGCTTCTTGTCTGCATAGACGTGGTCCTGTATAGATTAAATTGGTTATCCTTGATGTTCACCAAGTAGTAACTAGAATCGTCGAAGAGAAATCCTTCTACGGTTTGAACTGTGATGGGCATGTAATTTCAACTAGCGTTTTGTGTTTCCTAAGAGATTGTTTATTTTACTAAAGCATAACACAAGCACGTCATGGGAGCTATTGTCTATAAAACCTGCTGCTCTTTTGTTTCTCTTCGTCGTATCAATGACAGCGAGGTGAGGATTGCGTCACCTGGTTCTTTAAGCAACTCGTCACTGAATGAAACGCATCAGCGACCTCCGAAAAATTCCAACTCATATAAATCCCTTTACTTCGTAACAACTGTGACATCATATCACAGCGCAACAATGTCACATCTTTTGAAGTGTACTTTCAACCTTATAATAAATGTCATACCCCGTTGTCATATTACCGGTCACTATCGAGGAGCTGCTCATGCTGTTTGTAATCTATGCTTCAAAGATTTAAACGTCCTTCCAGTCAACGCTCGTAATCTACGAGGATACGATGGACAATTCATTATCTCAGCGCTCAGTCATCCACGAGAACCTCATTCACAGAACCGATAGTTATATTATGATAAGAAAAGTCTCGTGTTGTTGTTGAGACGTTTTCTATCATAACTTTCTTCTCGTGCCTAGTTACGAGAAGGAAGAAAGTTCGGCATTCTTAAGAATAAAGTGTCACATATGATGGTGTAGATACGGTTACATCCTTTTGTGGGGAAAAGCTTGGCTACGAGAAGGTACCAAGAATCTGCAAAATACAAGCAGACGATATATCTTGCTTTTGGACTTACAATTCTTTATATATATATATATATATATATATATATATATATATATATATATATATATATATATATATATATATATATATATACTACATTCTAAAGATACAACATATAAAACCTTTATATTGAAAAATACATAAAATACATATTACAAGACATACTAAATAATTTTCATATGAACTCCAACTTCATGTGCTTGTAAAGTTTTCTGCCTTTTTGAATACCATACAAGTGATTAGATATTACTTGTATTCAGAGAGCCATTGATGCCACAAAAAAATGTATTTTCTTTCATTTAGTTTAAAATAACGACCTGGAAAAGATCATTGAATATTAGAGTTTATTAACTAAAGAATAGTTTTATTCGTAAGTAAAGTGTAGCATGAAGCTAGAGGTAAATTCGTATG